AAAATTTGTCTTCAAATCGTTTTTATACTTTACTGGAAGATCTGGCCAAAGTTCCATTTTAAGCGTCCAATGTAAAACAACAAAACTACACTCGTAAAAGGGAGTTTTGGTAAAAGTTTATGAGCCGTGGCGATGGTTTTGTTTATTACTTGGCTTTGTGTAACGACTCCCTGAAATCAGCCAAATATAAAACAACTTAATTGGCAAATTAAGTGAAAGATTTTTCGCCACGACCATAATATATCATTACCTACGCAGAAACCATTTAAGACTGGAAAATGAGAATATTTTCATGAACCATTAAATATAAAATGAAAATTGTTCAGGAACAAATAACACGGATATTCCTCATTAAAATATATCTAACGTCCCTAATGCAAATTAATTTAGCTTGTTTAGATATAAGCGAATAAATTTTCTCACCGATACTTTAGCTGAATAACAAACAGGCTAATTTTGGTTAGAGGGAAAATTTTGAGACAGTTTTAATGAATTTACATCCTCTAATGGAATGTTCTCTGTACTGTACTCAGGCAAGAAGTATTTATTACACGTTTTGGGTAAAGTTGGTGAAGTTAATTTAGATTTTGCATATCACATACAAATAAAAAAAAACTTGATGTTGGTTTCGTGGATATTACGTAGGCACCTCACTCACATCAAGTAGGTGAGTTTAGAGCAGCATTGATAAAAAATTTTGCACACTCTTTAACGTAGCGCGAAATTTTTGAACAAGTTGAAGAATAATATCCATATATAGATGTCAGGCACATAATAAATGTGTATCTACAAATACAAACAGTCAAGACACAGATTTATTTGGCGCATCTTGAATAAACATAACTTAGCGTTTTTCTAATTACCTTCGTACAATACTCACCTCTCCGTTAATACTTAGATGCTGCAGGTTGAGGATTTATGCTCTTTTATTTATCTGCATATCTAACTAACAACCTAACGTTGTACGGTTGGTGTATCATACGGCACGTTAGGCCGTTAGTTTGTTTTTCTTATTTTTTTTATATAATTTTGACGGGAAAATATTTGAACTGGTTGTTTGCTTTTCCCAAGCTTTACAAACTGTGACTGTTTGTAAAAATAAACTAAAACTAAACTGAGATAAGTACTTAGGTAGTCAGCAACTCATCAAGCTCAGCCTGGTAGAACCCTATTTACTACTATGAAATGAGCTATATTTCTATAATTTAGCACCTTCGTCAGCTTATGTTGTTGAAGGTTGTAAAATCTCACTAAGGATTTCTGGACAAAGTAAGAATTTGAATATTTTTTTCACAATGAATAAACTCGTTGAGTAAAGCTTTCAAACCTGGCTTTCTTTTCACACCTGAATAAAGACACCCTCCTGGGTCGCCTACGTTCTGGTTCTTGGCCATTTTTTAATTTTTCATTCTCAGCTTACACTTTCTTTATAGATCTAAACATGCTAGGTAGTCTGATATCCCCTGCGATGCGGACTACCACTCATATGTAACTTTCTAATCAGCTTCATTTCGAAGATTCAGACATTTTTGTTATCTGCAAATATGACATATTCGATTGTTTAATTTTACCCCTCAATATCGGACCATGTTATCTCATGTTGTGTAGCATATTTTAGGAATGTAAATTTTATTATTCATAATCAACAATCTGAACTGAAGTCAAGGTTGGACAACATGTTCTATAGGGAAATTAATAAAACAGTGTATGTGGAGGATCAAAATTTCTGATGTTGGCATGTCGCAATGTTGCCGTATCAACTTCGTTTCACTTTGACATACCATAAAGTTTGTCATTTTGCCAGGTTACATTTTTATTAATAAATTGATAAGAATGATTATAATACTAAAAAATGAAATTCCAAATAAATTATATCCCAACCATCAATCCCCGACTCGTTAGAAACTGATCACAAACCTCAAAATGTTAAAATCAATAACCAAAGATTTGCCGAAAGCAACTATTGGCAACATTACCCACGAGTGCCAACCTAAATCCCATTTTATCGGCAGATTCGGTTATATGATCCGACACTATTCTGTCTCTTTTTAACTAGGGTTAAAAAAGAAGAGAACATGCGCTCTGAGCTTAAAACGAATTTTAATTTCTTACAAACTGCATTTGGCAATAATTTCGATGTCATTAATGACCTGCAACCCTTATTTTAATAATTTCACTATAACTTTAAAATTTTTGAGTAAGTACCTACATCGTCGAAAATTGATCAGTTTTTAACTTGGGTCCTATACTTATATATTTGAGGGTTTCTATTTTATCTCCTGACCATTCAACTCAACTTCCGATTTCATGTAGTGCAAGTTGATTTTATTGAATTTAGTCTTTAAGCAGAAGCTCGCCATATTTATCAAAACAATTTTCAATCATTATTTTTTTTAAAAAATTAGTTTTCTGGAAACTTAAATATTTTATATTTTCATTTCATGATAATGATATGGCCAGCGACTGTTAATGAACTTATATGGCAAGTATATTGAGGTACATTGTAATATTATTTTTTTTTGGAACTTGGTGAATTTGATTGAGAGTTAACCTCTATTTATTGATTTTATTCGAAGTGATATTTATCTTTTAAAATTATTTATTTCTTGATCTTCAACCTCACTGTGCAAATATACTATTTTGATTTGAAAATTGCTTGAGTGTTTTATTGGTTTTACCTATGTCAAGATTTGGTTGAGTTGCATGCCTTATTTTTTATTTTCTTTTCAGAAAGAATTACCAATTACCGTTTGCTATTTTTTTTTTATTAGGTGTGTTTCTGAATTTCCACACTTCGATATTTTATGTAATTTAATTATTAACCCTTTGTCAGTCTGGTGAGAAAAAGTCCCATTATTAGTGTGGTGGGGTATGTCATACCCCAAACTTTTTTTTGGTTTCCAAATTAAGGTGGCAAAAAATTAATATTTTATTAGTTTCTTTAGCTTATATATTAAACTAATTTCAATAAAAACTTGATACGGGATTCTGGATTTTCTATTTATTGCTTCAAAATATATAATTATTGTAAATCTGTATTTTTATCAAAATAAACATACTGCGAAGTAATTATTGGTTTTGAAATTATTTAATAAGTTTTAGACAAAAAAAAGTTTCACATTTCAAATGAAAAAACATAAATCATTATCGTGTTGAAAAAATTATCCTAAAAGAGTGAATACATAAAATTTTAGGCTGCATCAAAGTCGATGCAGTTTTGACAAAATAGATTTGCATGTTCCATGCATGATGGATGTCCCACATTTCTGACAGCAGTAAAATATCTTACTGTCTTTTGCTTGAGGACAAATTATATACCTTGACGCTGCTCTTCTTCGTTTGTTTTGGTTTTCCATGAGACCTGGCTGATTTTTTTTTTTGACTCAATGGTCTAAAAACTCTGGGCAGGCGAGGATTTTTCTCTATCTGCTTCTTCCCATAGTTTTCGCAAATGAGCTTGCTCTGCCTCGTATAACATGATATCCGAATATTATTACATAGAAAAATGTATCATGAGCGAAAAATTGATAGAAATAACATATCTTGCTTGCCTACTTCTCCAGAAATCACTTGCAGAAAATAGTTACACGATCAGTGTGGTGGGGTATGACATGCCCCAACCGCCTTTGATATCGCCTAATTCACGATTGATACAATATTTAGCGGTGGGCGTTATTTTATTATGTAGATCAACACAATATCTCAAGCTACTGGACGCTAGCTGGCGTCAAGTACTCGAATTTGGAAAATGCAAGGATAGAAAGATCGTCTGGGGTATGCCATACCCCACCACACTGACGAAGGGTTAACTAGCTGACCCGGCGAACTTCGTACCGACTCTGAATTATTAAATACCTATTAAATGTTGTGTTAACGTATCTAGTTGCTGAATTAAATTCAGGTCAAATCAGAGTCGCTTGCCAGTGAGTTCAGTGACGCATTTTAAGAAGCACTCCAGAGCTGCTTTAGAGCGCCCCGGGCTGTTTATAGGGGTTCCAGTGTATCAGAGTTTCGCGGAACGGAACTTTTTTTTTCGGGATAAAAAACAGCTTATATCACTCTCCTCTATAGCCGAATTCGATTGACCGGATTAGATCGACCTGGTTCAATTTAAGTGAACCACACTGTGTTCGATTGAAGTTGAATCAGTGCACCCTCATCAACAAAAAAATAATCTAGATCAAAAGAAGTTCACTTAAATTTAACCCAAATCGATCTAATCTAGGTCAACCGAATTCGGCTTATATAGAGATACGTGGTATTAATTTCAAGATCGGTCCAGCCGTTCTCGAATTCAAAAAATAATAAAGTTACGTCGGTTGAATGGCAAGCCTAAATAAATGAAATGTGGCAACGTTGTTTCATGTTGTCAAAAAAAGTTGGATTATGTTGTTATGTAATGTGAATGAGTTTGTTTATCATTAAATTAGTAATTAGGCACATACAGGTGATTTGCTCACTTAGGTGCCGCTAAAAAGATGTAGAAAGAATATTATTTGTGTATGTTAAAACAGTTGCTGATTGTAATTGTGTTTGAATAAATTTATTATCATTATTATTATTATTATTATTAAAAAATTAATTCAAAATTAATTTCTTTTTCCGAGATGCGTAATCTATTCGCAAACCTTCCTTGGGATGGTCATAACAACCTACCAAAGTTTCATCGTAATCGGATAAGTGGTGTAGGAGCGCATAAGGCGCAAACAAGCAAGCAAGCAAGCAAACAAACATTGATTTTTATATATACATATAGACGTATTTTTCAAATTCAGTGGCGCCCTTGCCATTCTGTACTTATTAAACTATTGACCCACCCCAAATAATTATTTGCTGAGCAAACTGAGGGTCTCCTGTTAATTTGTTAACGAATGCGGTTACAGTTATGGCTTGTTGTTTAAGGTTTTGCTCTCTCGCCTATTTCGTTGGTATGGTTGTGATTCTCCTATTTTGTGTGTACATACAAAAATGTTGCTAAATCTCCCTTTGTTTCGTTTCAGGTTCCAGGGTATACGTCAGAAGTGACCACTTCCACTCAGGATCAACTCGAAGAGAAAACTGCCCGATTAGAGCTGACAGGGGTGGGTGGTAGTTGGGAGCCTTTGCGTATACGATGCGAAGCCTCTCTTTTTAGGTTATATCGTGCCAAAAGTCTACAAGTTGAAGTTAAACCTGATACTCCACGACCGGCATCGGTACTACTTTTAGGACCATCAAGCTCAACAGGTAATATTTTACTTGCGAATTAAGTACTCAAATTGATAATTAAAAAATGAGAAATTATAAAATATAGCTACTAGCATTGCTAACTTTAATTTTCCCGAAATAATGGCCTAATTAGAAGGTTTAAATGGATATTATTTGGGCGAACAATATACTACTGATGGAACATTGTTTGGTAATGGAGTAATTCTATTGAAACATACGTCATTATTTCACTAAACAGACTAAATATGCCTATTTGGCAGTCGATTCGGAATATATTGGCAACTGTTATAGTTTGGCGTTAGGCGAACAATCGTTATAACATTAATTATGCGATGCAGAAGCTAAATTGTTGATCAGTATTAATGTTATGGGATTTGGATACTGATATTTTTGGTAAACTATTCAAATTTAAAATAATTGATATTAGAGACTAGAATAAACATTACATGGAAAAATGACTCAAAGGAATCGGACTTTCCATAATGTACCCTTACAGAAGAAAGAGTTTATCTAGATAATTCTTCCTAGTTTTTTCTAGTACTCTTTCGACCATTCAAAAGTTAGCACTCTACTAGGTCATTCACAAATCAAGGAGGAAACCCCTGTTTTCTTTCGCGCATAAAACATCTTGACCAATTATACAATTATAAAAACAATTAGGATATAGTTTTCTTGTTTACCCACAGTTCTTACTAGACAGTTCCATATTGAGCAACGTGTATCTATTGGTAAATTATTATCTCCAGGAAAACAATAATTTAGCATGATGAAGACGGGGATAATTTTGCTTTTTCAGAATTGAAAAAAATATATTCCAAATATGATAAAAGGTAAATACGTCAACTGAATATTTTAATAAAAATTGTTGTATAGTATTTTTAATACCTATTTAGAAGTACCTGTCGTTTTAGTGACAAAACGTATGTCGCTTCTTGGCATGCAAATAAAATTAGGTTAGGAAATTCCTATTTGTAGATGAAATTGACGTATTAGCAATCGACGTTCGTTTTTGTTGGTAATTTTTTGTTTCATCTGATTCGTGATTGATAAATAAGGACGGGGTTATTCTAAATAGGTATTACAAATACTATATACTATAACGGCTTCAACTGGTGGTGGCATATTTTCGGGTTATTGTTTAAAATAAAAATTTGTAGATATTTAGATTATCAGAAATAGAGGAATTCACCGTAACACTTGAATGTATTGTTATTCCTTTCCATATTAACAGAATAATAGATTAACTTTAAAATTGATTGCGCAAAAACCGCAGTGCAATTGGTTGGCAACAATCCATTTGGCTTAAAGTTGGTTTGTGAATGATTTTCAATTTATCCTCTACTAGAAATTATTTATTTTTATTTTTTATTATAATGTGCACGATAACTCTACTTATTTTTAGAAATGTTATCAACATTCAACCCATAATAACCCATATCAAATTATCCTATACGTATGTTATAATATGCAGCACGAAACTTAAAGTGCATGAACTTTTCAGTCGATTTGTACCATTTTCGTGACAATATATTATTCTAAGTAGTGCTTAATGTACTTTGAATAAATTTAAAATTAAGTTTATTTCATACAAACTAGTTTTGTTGAAAATTTCTTTAAGAAAATATCAAACTATATTGTTCCACGTATTCTAGAGAGTTTTTTTTCTATCAAAACCAAAAACTATCAGAAAGTAAGCACTTTAATCATTTGTACCAGGACCTACATAAATCATTAATATAACCCAAAAAGAACTACCTATATATTTCTAGTCTCACAACCCCCAAGTCCGCCAAAATATTATATCATATGGCGTATTACGATAAAAATAAACCTGCCTTGGGTTTGGCCCTTCTTTATTTTACACACAATTTGTTTTACGACCTCTTTATAATAAAGCTAGTCAGAGGGGTAATGGTTGCCAAGGTTTATTATGTTTTACCCATTTTCGGAATCATTTGGTTTTTTATAAATCTCTGCAAAAAAAGCCAAGTTCACCATTTATTTATTGTTTTGGATTAGCTCTAGCCCCCAGCTTTTGATAGTTATTTACGTTAGTAATCTGACATGTTTATAGTACTCTTGAAAAAAAAAAAAAAAAAAAAAAATGTTTCATGTTCACGTTACCAGTGGGATAAGAGGAACTCAATTATGATAATAGAGGGCTGGCATGAGTTTTGTCACTATGTCCTTATGATGGCGCCGCACAAGAGTGTCGTACAATATTTTACCGATGGCCAAAAATTTGTAAATACTGTGAAGAATCTCGGTTGAAGTGTAGGGGCTACGAATACTTTTCGGTAGCAACTACTAGTTAAACGTTATCTACGGTATTGCTGATAAAGAATTGCTCGAGTAACGGAGTCCTCCCAATTTTTGCTCACTCAAGAATATCTACAGAAAATTATAATAATAATGTTCAAAATATTCGTGATTTTGAAAATAATTTCGGCACTTGAGGTATTATAAGTAAAGATTCTAGTTACTAATCGTAGGTTAGTAAAGTGAAACTTCTTTAAGCACAGTAGGGTAAGTTTGTTTCATGCGGTTTCCTATGTAACGATAACATGCAACGCTAGACATCTTCATCTCTACTGTCACGTAGTCCAGCGGAGATTGCTTGAGCTGTGAGCGCGCTTCAATCCAACTTTCGTTACAGGCAGCTCAAACATGTATAGGGTATTCCAATAAGAGGTTTCGAATGTTTTGTTTTACTACTCTTCTTATCTCAAACTTTGTTCATGTTATTCGATTTTTTTTCCATTGCACTGAAAGAAGGATTTAGTTATAATAACCTAAAATTAGTGACTATTACTAAATCGCCTATTGAAATATGGCTTATTAAACCTTTGGTCGCAACACACAAATTATTTGTTTAAAATTTAAGGATAAAGCACTTATTTAATAATATGCTCTATCTAATAATAGTTAATTAACGCATATTAATAATAAATAAATATTTTGTTCTCTGAGGTTGATGTTTGCTTCTGGATTTTCTGTCTTTACTAATAGTAAATTGATCATATTTTTCAAGAATATACGTTTGTTAATAATAAATTCTGTTTTTTTTTTTGCTGGATTAAACATATCTTTATATTTATTACCAGTACTTGATTCAAATAATCATTTATTAATAGTAAAAAACGTTTATTCGTATATATTATTTAGCTTTGTTACTGATAATTTGAAATTATTTACCATAAGTATTTTTTTTCTTTAAGTCCGGTTGTACAATTAAAGCCTTCATGGCTTAATTAAGCTTTCTGGTGCTTGAAACCTTCCCATTTGAAATGCACAGCTGTAAGATTTGACAACTCGTTGACAGTAATGCATTTTAAATAGGAAAGTACAAGTAACAGTTAAGCTTTAATAAGCCACGATTTATAAGCTTCGATTGTACCACTGGGCCTTAGTTTGTTCCTGGGAATAGGGCACTCTGAAATAATTAAAAACAAACCAATCCTTTTTAAAATTTATTTTTCTTCGGTAGGCTAGATTCTCACATAGGTAACATCATTTTGTTGAAGAACATAGCAACATGGCGGGTGTGCATGCGGCGACCTGTGAATGTAATAATGAACTATAACTCGATTATCTTCTCAGGTGTAACAGGAAAAAAAGGTGAATACAAAGTTGCTTGGTACCTATTAATTAACTGGCGCTTCTCCAGAAAATATAATTGGGTTTGCAGTTTTATGAAACAACTTCAGCATCACCATCACAGCACGTTTCCAAAAACCGTTGTAACACACTGTTGTGTTCCGCCACGCTATCTTCCATGATTTAATAATTCTTACACTCAGAGTTGGGATAATATCATTTATAAGTTGGCTGTTAACTTTGTATTTCGCCGAAGCACGCCAGAATAATGCAAAAGTAGGGAGTCGGTGGAACAGATAAGAGAAAACATAGGTCAAGGTGTTTCTTCTTTCACGCCTCGAAGCCAAAAGAACGAATTGCCCACAAATATAGGCGATAGACAGTGGACGGTGGCGGGTGTATCAACGTTTGTTTACTGATATTATAATTTATGTATGGAAAATAAGGATTTATTATTAGAAACCAAGGAACAAGTTGAAATTTCAACTAAACTGTGTTAAAATGGAACAATATATATTTATTAATCTATAGTTATCATTTGTTTATAATCACTAAACCAGAACATTCTGTTAATAAATTATATTTATCAAACCCTTGTAAATCAATGTAAGAAATATTTTGTTCATTATTAACAAACATTGTTTGATATAATTAAGAAAATGAGTCCTAATAAATCATTTGTATTTTATAAATAACTATTTTTAACAGTCATATTTTTAATTGCCAATTTAGGGCCGGTACTTTTGCTCTCGATTAACGAATTTGATATGTTGTCAAAGTTTTGCATGGGCCAAGGTCTATAAGTATGATGTGGTTACAGCACATTCAAACCCCTGATTATTTTTAACGGCTGTCAAATGAGAGCAAAAGTACTGGCACTAATGTATTTCTTACAAATGCCTATTAATTATAATATTGGTTTGGTTTATGTAACCAAATTTGTCAGAAACAAACATTTGTTTATTATAATTCCGAATTTTCTCTCAGTGTGTGGAATTCAGTACAATTTCAGCAATGGAGCGCTACACAGTAGAACAACGTGTTTACATTGTTAAAACGTATTTTCAAAATGGGTCTTCTGTGAGAGCAACATTTCGGCAAATTCGTGAATACTTTGGTGTTCGCAATCGTCCGTCAGAAGTAACCATTCGCGAAATAGTGCGTAGATTCGAAAGTACCGGATCAGTGCAAGATATCCAAACAGAAGTCCGGGAACGTCCTGCTTGTTCGGTTGAAAATATTCAGGTGGTTCGTGAAAGTGTGGCTCAAAATCTACAAATGTCTGTTGAAAGGCGCGCACAACATTTGGGTATCAGCAAAACTTCAACATGGCGAATTTTGAAAAAAGATTTAAGGCTACATCCTTACAAAATTCAACTAACACAGGAGCTAAGCCGATCATGAGCAACGCCGTGCATTTG